TGCAAACACTGACTCGGAATACTTATCTTCCATGCAGTCAAAATCATATGTAGGCCTCTCATAATCTGAATTTTAAAATAAAAATGGTAAGGCATAAAAGTAGCAAAATTCTTTTGGTGCTGGGTGGCAATTTAGGGAGCTGAATTTTAATCAGATGAGTGGCACAGTCTGGTCACCCCTTGCACTCTCTCTTTGTTGGATCATTTCCACCCTGAGCTCAGTACACAAACCATCTATTGAGCAACTTGTATTCAGTGGCAAGGATTATTCAAGACTAGATGCTTGTTTTGTCAAGTCTAAAGGAAAAGCGTAAGAAGATTCTCTTCTTTCCTTTTTATGTTTTCTAGGCTGTCTTGCACTTTCCTCAGAGAAAAAACGAGCCCCATAGTTAAAGAAATGTTAGCGCAGGATCTTCCCAAAGGAGACTGAATGTTGGAGGGGAATGGAGAATTTGAACAAAAGATGGGTGGTTTGTACTTTAATTCTTAATATATATATATATGGAGAAACTGGAGGTTTCCTAGAAAAGAGGGAACATATCCACATGACAGATGCTTTGTATGATAAGCCATTGTATAGCCGTACAATCCCAATAGCAATACATTTTTTCCCTTTATTCCTTGTGTAACGGATGCAGGAAAATACAGTGATGTCTCAAGGCCCCAGTCAACCTGGGTACTTGAGATAGAAATTCCTATAAGTAGCTTTTTCCTCCCTGGTGGTAAAAAATTAACAAATTATCTCATCATTTGTTGACCTTTAGCGACAAAATTTGCTGTCTGGCACAACCATCCCTCTGTGTCTGGAGACAAGCCCAAGAATAGGTTTGTTGCTGTGCCGAATACAAGCTGGGCTAAACTGCCTTCTTTTCTGCTTATTGCAAAGAGGCAGATAGGATGGTCAGTCATCTCTACAAAGAAGAAAAGGGGGCAGCTCATTTATGGTGCCACAAAAGGGTAGAGCAAAGATTTCCTTCATTATTCCTGTATTTTTTTAATCCCTTTAGTGTTCTGTCATTATTTTTTTAGGCTTGCAAATGATTTTAAAAGTTTCTCACCATCTTGTATACATCATTTTGTGTATGCTTCTGATGTACCCAGGCTGTATGCATTTTTTCTCATATAAGCAAATTTCTCTCTCATGTGTGTTTCCCATACATTTCTTTCATGAATAAAGGTAGTCCTCAACTTACAACAGTTCATTTAGTGACCGTTCAAAGTTGCAACAGCACTAAAAAAAGTGACTTATGACCATTTTTCACACGATCATTGCAGCATCCTCATAATAATGTGATCAAAATTCAGACACTTGGTAACTGGTTCATATTTATGACAGTTGCAGTGTCCTGGGATCATGTGATCAGCTTTTGTGATCTTCTGATAAGCAAAGTCAATGGGGAAGCCAGATTCACTTAACAGCCATGTTACTAACTTAATAGCTACAATAATCCATTTAACAACTGTGGCAAGAAAAGTCATAAAATGGGGCAAAACTCAGTTAACAAATGTTTCACTTAGCAACATAAATTTTGGGCTCACTTGTGAATTACCTGTATATAGATTTTTGTGGGTCCTTCTTTACTATAAACACATATTTCACGACTTTTGATTGCAAAATTAAGAAACATTCAATGAAAACATCACCATATATTAGTTTACATATTTCAAATCAGAGAAGCATGCATTAAAATATGAACTGAGTTATCTTCCTCTACATTCTTCCCATGAAGACTTGCCAATTACCCACTTGGTCTCCCATTATTTTCTACTATTCATGCAATAATTGTCATCAGGATTTGTTATTAGACTGAGAAACAAACCAATAGCAGTAGCAATCACATAACCATTTGCTTTCTTTACTGAACTGAGACTTACTACTAGGATATTTCAATTTTCATGTCCCCAGGATAAAGATCTGGAGTCAGTTATCTTGTGAAGATAAAATCAATGAAACTGTTTAAGTAGCTTTGCCTATTGTAGATGGATAAGCAGAACAATCTTTCTTTAGCCTCTGTGATATGTTTGCAAAAAAAAATTGTTTGAACAAAAATTATTCTTTTTTTTTCTGATTTAGTTTCCAGATTGTCAGGGCATGTAGGGTAACTAGAACAGAATAATCTGGGATTCTTCTAATATTGCTGATATTGTGAGCTTTGATGATCTGAACTGAAGACTGAACTCGTGTTCCATCTGGCTTCCTTGAATGGCTAAGGAAGAATTGTAAAGCTTGCAAGTGGTAAGGCTTCTTTGAAGAAGGAAGTTGTATCCCCAGCTTTGAAGGATGTATTGATGCACCTTGGAAGAAGCCATCTCTCTATCCATCTTATTGTTTATCTTGGGGGGAAGGCATTGAAATTATAAAGGATCTTAGATGAAGCAAGTTATCTAGATTATTTTCAATCAGATTTCACATCTTGGCATGGAACTGAAACTGCTTTGGTTGTTCTTGTGGATAGCTGCCATCTGCACCTGGATAGGCAGAAGTCACTCTTCTGGATGGATTTCTTGGTAGTGTTCAATGTCATTGTCTGAGATTGCTTTCTGTCTGCCTTCAAACATTACAAGTCTGGATCATAATTTTGTAGTACTGCATTCACAAGCTGATAGATGAAAGTTATTTCAACAATGTTACACCTATACTGACTTCCAGGAAGAAATGGCAGACTGAAGATGGTTCTACAAAAAGTGGAGTCAATAACTGCAATAGAATGAAGGGTTGGCAAGTAGATCAGTGTTTCCAGACAAGGAGAGGACTTCAGATAGCCCACAAATGCTTCAAGTGGACAGTAGATAAAACTAGAAGAAACCAAAAATTGTAATTAAAAGAGAAGAACATTGAAATTCAGCTTACTAATACAGAATAAAGCAAAATATTTCAATGTTGAATATGTAAGCTGTTCAAAATAAAGCTGCCTTTTACAATTGATGGTAATTTTTTCAGTGCTGATGCCATTCATGTTCCAGTTGTTCTGGGCTTGCACCTTTGCTTTCTTTTGCCACAGTTGTTCTATTTCTATTTGCAGATCTTTGTATTTTATCTTCTCAAGTTCTTTCTCTTCTATTCTATTCTGCTATCTCCAGGTACTGCCACGTCGACTATCCAGAGGTTTTTTGTCTTTCTTATCAACAATTGTTAAGTCTGGGGTGTTATGTGATAAGTATTTGTCAGTTTGAATTCTAAAATACCAGAGCACTTTAGTGTCTCCATTTTCTATGACTTTCTCTATTTTATGGTCTCACTAGTTTTTGCTTGCAGGAAAATGGTATTTTTTGCAGATGTTCCAATGCACCATTGTTACTTTGTCATGCCGTTGTTTGTAGTCAGTCTGTGTGATCTTCTTGCAGCAGTTAACCAGGCGATCCATTGTTTCTTCAGCTTCTTTTCAGAGACAGCACTTGCTATCTGTTGTTGCTTCTCAATTTTGGTTTTGTATGCATTTGTTCTATCTAAGGCATGGTATTGTGTAGCCAAAATTAGCCCCTCTGCCTCTTTCTTCAAATTTCCTCCTCTTAGCCATTGTCAGGTCTTGTTATTATCTATTTTCCCTGCTGTTTTTAATAAAATTATATATTTTTAAAAAGTTACACCTTTTTGGCAGATGCTGCACTGATTGCCCATATGTTTTCAAGTATAAATCAAACTGTTGGTTTTGACCTATGTGGCTTGAATCCGTGTTATCCATGGGAATATCTTCTTCAAACAGGGCTTACCTGCTCTGTCTGGTCTAACCATGAAACAATTCTTCAGATCTCTTTCCTTGAAATGTTAGAGAAGATGGGAATTCAAAATAATATTTCATTCTCCAATAGTCTGTCACTCAAGGTCTAGATGGCCTAGTCAATTTTTTATTTTATTTTATTTTATTTATTAAATTTATATGCTGCCCAGCTCACTATCAACTGATTCTTTTAGAATTGAGAAGAGTAATCAAGATGTTGTTTCATTGAGTTTGGGGCTAGAAGTGCCTATCATAATGCTATTTCATTAGATGACTTAAACTTATTATTTTATTATGTTTATTGACCTATCCAAACCTTTGGGAAATTGGATGAGCTCTAAATTAAGTAACATAAATCAATCCATTGTTAACCACAAAATGAACTTGGTATTCTTTTATTTTTTATTTTTAAACATGATCAGTATTTTTTTTGTTCATTTACTTGATCTAATTGAAAATTGTTTTTTTTTTTACTTATTGTTGTTGTTGTTGAACAGTACTAAATAGAAGTGTGCAGAGCTTGGATACAAAATGAGAAATGGTGCTTTGGAGCTTGGTGTGGACAAAATGGTATGTGAGAATGACCTTGGGAGATAGGAGGAAGAACTGCAGACTAGGGAAAGATCAGATATGAGGCAGTTGAGACCACAGAAGAAATGAGGATATGGCAAACATCAGGGAAGGGACCCTCCCCAGTTTCTTGGACTAGGAGGGGGGAGAGAGGTACTTTCAGACTTGCAACATTCTGGTAATATAACCTTACCATAAAACTGAAACTAGTACTCCTGGATGTGCTTTTTATCTGGTTGACTACCACATATTTCAGCAGCTCTCTGGAGAAATTTTATATTTCCCTGAATTTTTACAGTAGCTCAGGGAAACATGTATTTGAGTCAAGGTGGTCTGATAGAGGAGGTGACAAGTTGCAACCATGTGCTGCCATCCTGTTGTCATATTCTTAACAACTCATCTCTTAGCTAAAATGAATACTTTCCTTATCCAGTGTGGCTCCCATGGAAACCCAAGAAAAGGCATAGAAACATAAAAGAAAACACCAAGTCTAGCAAGGATGGCCATTCTAGGATTTTTAAGCACTTTTGTTCATTTCAGCTATGAATATTTCACACTTCAAAGAGCATAACAAACAACCAGAGGTTCAGCATTTAATTTCTGTCTTTCAATTAAGTAAAAGTCACAATATCCTGTAGGCTCTGATACATTCATCAAAATAAGGAAAAATATACCATTGTCAGGATGCAAGCTCCATACTTTTTATTCATGTGTGCACCATGTTGATACATGTACAAAAGAAACAGAGTTTGAATATTGGATGGCACAATGCTGCTTTCATCATTCCCTATTTGAACTTCACTGCAGACTTCTGTTGAGAAATAGCAAATATTTAGGGATGATAAAGGCAAATGGATAGCATTACTCGACAGTATGGCAAAGAAAGACATAGAAGCTTGCTCCGTTTCATATAAAGCTTTGCCTTCCAAACTGGCTGTATTTCTACCAAGCAGGCAAGTTAATAACAACCTGTTTGCATACATTAAATCTCAATATTTTGATAATTTGGATTGTGAGAAATAACTTGCTATGATTCAATGAACATAACTGGGATTTTCAAAATTAATACACACACACACACACACACACACACACAAGATAATATGCAAAGCAATTCATTCACACAATAAAGTTCTAAAGTTTATTTTGGATATATTGGAATCTGTTGTTTTTAGAGCACTTGGAGGGTTTTTTGGGGGGAGGGGGGTTATGTATATGCTTTTAAAAAACTTTTTAACAGTTTTATTATTGTTCCAAGCTACCCAGGGTTATACTACATAGGTTGAGCAGGTGTATAAACCAAGTAAATAAAAAATAGGTATCATATTGAGATTGTATGGTTGGTTATTCATAACAAAACTGGACAGGAGTTACACTATTGATATTATCCAGGATAATTAATACATTGCAGTATTAAATGAAACAGTAGTGTGCTCTTTCACATATTTACCTGGGAATAGATCTCAATGGTGTCAGTGAGTTAGCAAGGATGCATAGATTTGCTACATCCCATTCCATGTGCAACAGAGAGGGGTAAACTGGACATGAACTCTACAAGATAAGGTCATAGATACTTAGGACTCTGGACAGCTCACTGTGAAACTAGTTATGGCTAGCATACTTAGAATCAAGAATTTACCTATTTTTCCCCAAAGAAAGATAATCCTGAATTTAAGATGATCCCTCTTCCCCAAAGTATGAACCCACACCCACAAATCCTATCCCCAGTCCAGTTTCCCCAATTTATCAGTCTATACCCCTGGTGGCGAACCTATGGCACGCGTGCCACAGGTGGCACGCAGAACCCTCTCTGTGGGCACGCGCACCATTGCCCCAGTCCTAGGCCTTCAGCTGGGTTTTATAAAACCTTTTCGTTTTAGGCCTCCACTGCCAGGTGCAAAAAAAAAAAAAAAAGATTCAATCAATCAATTTCAACTTCTTGTGGGGGAAAAAAAAGATCTCGCAAAGTTGGAATTAATTGACTGAACTTTTTAGTCCCACACAGTGTGCCATTACCACCACAGCCATGCCCACCCAATTGGCCACACCCACCCAATGGGCCACGCCACCCAGCACCCAATGATACATAAGTGGGTTTGGGGTTGCAGTTTGGGCACTCGGTCTCTAAAAGGTTCACCATCACTGGTCTATACTTTCAAATCCATTTGAAATTAATTCTAGATACTTTCCATGTCACTGTGTGTGTGTTTGTGTGTGTGTGGGGGGAACGGGGATTCCATGTTTTTTCATATATATGCACATGGACAGAAGCCACAGGGAAAAGAGAAAAATGAGCAGGGCTAGGATTTAAAAAAGAAAGAATGAATAACAACTGGTTGAAATTAATTCCCTGTAAAACAAAGTGCTCTGTTATATTTGCATAGTCAAACCATTCTCAAATAAAGCATTTTTTATAACACATACAAACATACAAATTCAGATTTCCAAAAGGACGGAAGGAAGGAAGGAAGGAAGGAAGGAAGGAAGGAAGGAAGGAAGGAAGGAAGGAAGGAAAACACAATTTTGAGATTTTAATGAGAAACCCTATAGAATTGACATTAAATATGACAGCTTGCCTTATGTAGCACACTGAGGTGGGAGAGGAAAAAGCACTAACTGCCATTGCTGCTGCTTCCCTGAGAGAAAGATACAGAAGCTTATGCATGAAGTCCCAGCACACACAAGGATTTCCGTCCACAGACTTCTGAATGGTTTTTCTAGAACAGTGGTGGTGAACCTATGGCACGTGTGCCAGAGGGGGCACTCAGAGCCCTCTCTGTGGATATGCGTGCCATCACCCCAGCCCCACCTCCCCCCGTGGCTCCCTCCTAACCAGCAACCCCCCCCAGAGAAGAGTCACCTCAGGATGCGGCCCGCATGGAGCAGCACAGCCGGGGCATAGCAGCTGGGCAGCGGGGACAAGACTCTGCCCTCGTGCCCCGTTGCACGCAGATGATGCTGTGGGGTGTGGGCAGAGGGCATGGCCGCCATGGTGCTGCTAGGCCACCTGGGTGATCTGCTGCGGCAGGCTGTGGAGGCAGTGGGTGGCCCTGTGGGGGGGCAGGGGGGTGGGATGGGGCAAAGCAGGGGTGGAGTGGGGGGGTGGAGCAGGGGCAGGGGGCAGGGCAGGTGCGGTTTTGGGGCACTCAGTCTCTAAAAGGTTCACCATTACTGTTCTAGAGTCTTCTGTTGTACTGAGGAAATAATATCTGCTTTTTAAAACAACCTACTTTATTCTGGAAATATCTGCCACCTTCCCATTACATAGATATGTGGGGGAATGGATAACAATCCTTGTGTTCCTTTTGATATTCTCTAAGATTTGTATTCTCTCTTTTTCAGAGACTAATTCCCATAGTCCTTCTTAAGTATGGATGGTTGGGGAATCTGTCATTGGCGCCAATGACTCTTGAAGAGTTGGGTTAGGGCAGTGTTTCTCAACCTTGACAATTTTAAGGCATGTGGACTTCAACTCCCAGAATTCCACAGCCAGCATTGCTGGCTGTGGAATTCTGGGAGTTGAAGTCCACATGCCTTAAAATTGTCAAGGTTGAGAAACACTGGGTTAGGGTCAGATTTTACAGCGCTTGGAAAATGTTCCAGCAGGGGCTCCAGTACCATCTAGATGACCTTAAATCTAAGTTTATGAAATGAAGGGGTGGGCATTTGAAAGGATACACGAAGACTGACAATGCTAATCAACTCAGTTTTAGACTCAATGGCTACAGCATTTACTTTTATGTCCCCAAATGTGAACCAGTGTCAGGAGGCAATCTGGAGGATGGCTGCAGCTGCTTCTTTGGAATTTTATTAGAGTGATAGGTGAGATCTGTCCGATGAATTACAGGGATTTTATAGAGAGATTGTTTGGAATAGTGGAAACTGTACCTTGTTTTGGAACTGTTGGCTATGGCAGAAGTGGAGAATTTCCCAATCTTCTTAAATACAGCCTTCATACTTTGCAGGTTGTTATGGGAGAGAAATACCTATTAATTTAAGAATTGTAAGGGTTCCTGATCTTAGAGCTCCACATGTACAGAGCTAGACGAAAACATATTCTCCATGTTTTCTTAGAATCTTCATCTGGGAGAAGCTTAGGAAGTTGTAGTAGATGTTTAGAGAGCTTTCTACTGAAGTAAGAGTTTTAAAAGGGATATGTATAGGAAGTGGAAGAGGTGTACCAGCAAGAAGCTGATTTCTTCAGAAAGACAGGCTAAAGTGCAAAAGGGATTTATAACAGGCTTGCAAAGGAAACCAAAAGCAGCATGAAAGAATGATTGAGTTAGTAGCAAAAAAGAAGAAGGAAAGGCTGGTCTGCTTTTAGGAAAAGGTGGTAAGACAATAGCAGGTGATGAAGAGAGGGCAGGGCTTCTCAATTCCTACTTTATTTAATTTTCTCCCTAAAGGAAACTGTTCAAACAAATCTAAGCAGAACAATAAATAAAAGGAAATAATGACAAGCCAAGATATGTAGAGGTGGTTAAGGAAAGAGTTAGGTTAGGACTTAGTTAGCTTTCTTGTAAGTCCTCTGAAAACTAAATATGAAAGTTTTGCATTTTCATCAGCTATAAGTTTTTTTTTAATCTAATTCTTTTTACAGTGCAAGTTTTGTCGGGTGCAGGGATGTTGCTTGACTATTTGTCTATATATGAACAGCTATCGACTGAAGCCTAAAACAATTTAATTTTGAGACAGATGGATAAATAAAGCACGTGCTCTACAAGCATAAAGACATATTTTGTTTGTTTTTCTTTGTACCCCTTACCACCCTATTAAAGCCTGACTGAATTGTTGGATTGGGAAATGAAATTCCATTGCCCAACCTTTTAGCCCATGCAGAGCATAGACCAGTGTTTTTCAACCTTGGGAAATTTAAAATGTGTGTGAACTTCAATATAGCTGGCTGGAGAATTCTAGGAGTTGAAGTCCACACATCTTAAAGTTCCCAAGATTGAAAAACACTGGCATAGATCCTTTTCTTAGTTGGAAGATTTTAGTCTATTGTGAGGTAAACAATGGACATTTTCTCTCTCATTTGCATCCTTTCAAGATTCAGATAGCAAACTTTCAAAGGGGGATGACTAATTTTCCTCTATTTGTGGAATCTCCTCAGTGATTTATAACTCTACATGCTACAGAGCAGCCTTTTTCAACCTGCCCGTCATAATTATTAGATTGCAACTTCCAGTAGTTCTCTTTTTCTGCTTTTAAATATATAGGATTTGTCTTTTCCTAGTCCAATCTAATTCTCTAAACCAGTGGTCTTCAGTTTGGAGGGTGACAGGTTGAGGAAGATTGGCTTAGAACATTAGACTAGGAAAGATACTGGATTGACTATGAGATTGATGGCCACCCTTCAAAATAGGATGGGTCAGGAAACAAACATAGCAGAGATTTCAGAAATGCTTTTTATTGTAATAAAGCAGAAAAACAGGAGCTTGGGTGTCCAAGTTTCTATCTGTCTGCTCTAAACAAAATCAAGTCGGGCTATTCTGAGTTTCTTTCTTACCCTTTCCTCTTTCTCAGGGCTGAGTTACCTTTTTAAAAATTCTTCTCAGGGTGGCAAAGTGGCTGATTGGTTAAGACATTGGGTTTGTTGGCTGGAAAGCCAACAGCCTAGATTCAAGGCCTGAGTGCCATGTGATGGGGTGAGCTCCCGTCCTCGGCCCAGCTCCTGCCAACCTAGCAGTTTGAAAGCATGCAAATGTGAGTAGATAAATAGGTACCACTTTGGTGGGAAGATAATAGTGCTCTGTGACATCATGCTGGCCACATAACTGTGGAAATGTCTTTGGACAATGGTAGCTCAGTGGCCTTGAAATGGAGATGAGCACCGCCCACTGTAGTCAGCAATGACTAATGGAATAAAATCTACAGGGATTCCTTTACCTTTTACTTAATAGCTTACTCATTCCTTTCCTATGCCCAAGATAAGCTCAGTGTTCCTTAAAGTATTGGATTAGGAATGGGGAGAGCCAAGTTCTTGTTTATCTCAGCAGGAGAAGCTGTCTTTGTGACTTTGGGATGATCACTCACTGCTAATCCGACCCCATATAGTTGCTTTGTGGGACAAAAAGAGAGGAAGAAGCATTATGCATTATTTCTAATGCTCGTAGATAAAAGTCAGGGTAGAAATCTGACATATTTGAAATGGCGGCAGGAAGATCATTCACTCCCTTGAGCTTGTTAGAAGAATGGTAGCATGCAAGAATAATAAGTAAATGGTATCAAACAACATCCTCAGAGTTAAAAATTGCTCAAAGAAGTTCTGATTTCAGAAGTTTGGTTTCCAGCATGTGAAGATATGCAAATGAATGGATGTTATACAAGAGATGTTATCATGTGATCAAAAGAACACTTGAAAGATTTTGTGCTTTATGCTTTGAATTAAATGCCGTTTACATGGTACTCCATTCTTCTATGAAATTATAGACAGAAGTACAAATATTTTACTGAGTAACTATGGAATTTGTATATGAATGCCAAATCTTATAGCTAGTCCTAACATTTGGACAACTCAGTAGCAACTAGACTAGAATAAGAACAGAACAGAACAGAATAGAATAACAGAGTTGGAAGGGATCTTGTAGATCTTCTAGTCCAACCCCCTGCCATTTCAGACAAATGGTTGTCCAATCTCTTCTTAAAAACTTTCACTGTTGGAGCATTCATAACTTCTGGAGGCAAGTTGTTCCATTGATTAATTGTTCTGTCATGAAATTTCTTCTTAGTTCTAGGTTGCTTCTCTCTTTGATTAGTTTCCATCCATTGCTTCTTGTCCTGCCCTCAGGTACTTTGGAGAATAGCTTGATTCTTTCTTTATGACAACCCCTGAGATATTTGAACACTGCTATCATGTCACCCTAGTCCATATCTTCATTAAACTAGACATACCCAATTCCAGCAAATGTTCTTTACACGTTTTAGCCTCCAGTCCCCTGATTAGCTTTGTTGCTCTTCTCTGAACTCTTTCTCAACATCTTTTTTACATCATAGTGACCAAAACTGGATGCAGTATTCCAAGTGTGGCCTTACCAAGGCATTATAAAGTGGTATTAACACTTCATGTGATCTTGAGTCTATCCCTCTGTTAATGCAGCCTAGCACTGTATTAGCTTTTTTTTGGTAGCTGTAGCACACTGCTGGCTCATAATAATTGCCTTGGATAGCTGGTAATGAGGATTAGTAAAGATTTACATATTGTTATATGTTTTTATTTTTTATTGTAAAGGCTAGAAGAAAAGAACTTATGATTTTTTTTGCCTCAGTTGAATACATGAACTTTGTCTTGAAGAGTGGGAAACAGCCTTACAAAGCCAAATGCTTTGGGATGGCTCTGGTATTATCCTTTAGAAAACAAGATAAATATAATACAGAGGCAGTTGAATTGTATTTTACATTGATCTTAGAATGCCTTGGCTCATAGTATCTTTTAGTGTAAGGCACATATATTCTACTTTTTCCCAGAGTGGAAAAATATTTGACATGGTTTTATCTTTACATGAACATCACATGTTTGTGATGTTCTTAGTCTTATTCCCAATTTGTACTAAAAGAAGCTGTGGCTCAGAAGAAAAAAAAATGTGGTTAAGTAGAGTACAATCTGAATCCATTTTTTCCTCTGAATTTTTACACAAAAATGTAAAATACAGATTAACTACTTTTTTAAAAAATTGTTTTGCAGAGAGTTGGATTGAAAGATGCCTCAGTGAAAGTGAAAACAAACGTTATTCCAGCCACACATCTCTGGCAAATGTTTCTAATGATGAAAGTAAGTATGCTTTATTTTCTATAGAAATATATATATACCCATTTGTTAAAAAATATTTGAAGTTTATAGTGTCTATATAGATCTGGAAAGCCACATCTTCAAGCAGGGAAAAAATTAAGAGTTAACTGACAAATGCATCAGCCAGAAAAACAGCATTTTGTATTTATATTGGACAGCTGAGTACATATGGGCAAAGGGACATACTGTAAAGATAAGCTATTAAGATACTAGCTTTGTAGATGAAGCCTGAATCTCCCTTCTGGGACCAAAACAATGCCCATTGGAATACTTGAATGTAAGTTCTTCACTGGCACTCAAAAGGAAATTAATTGCCAAGGGAATTGTTCATCTTCCTGTGAAAGATTGCTATGAAGAGAATTCCCTGCTGAGTGTTCTGATCATATATAACTCAACAGCTGATTCTCAATTCACCACCTTCCACAACCATTCCAATGCTGGCTCCAGTTCAGATTTTAAATGATTTCATTGTTTTCTTGAAACTCTTTGCTAATGATCAACATAAAGGCTGGCTGCTTAAAAGGAGATTCCCCATGGGGTCTCCTTCTATATGGAATACCTTGACAGAAGTGGTCAAGGTATTCAGTGTACACCTGGCCAGTGTAGAAGCCTGTGTGATGGAAGAGGCAGGATGACATTTTAAAGCTCTACGAGAATACCAAGCCTCTATATCCCTTTTGCATGGAGAACAAGGACAGTCTGGTAGTTATGACTCTGCTAACAACTTTGTTTTGGAGACTGCAAAACATATTGATCTACTTGTGCATGCAGTGGGTATGATTATGGCAAAGGTGAACATTTCCTTAAGAAGAATAATGCTTCAGGAATGAATGAGGAATGCCTGGTTTACATTGTCACTTGCCTTTCAGAGGTATCATTGGAATGGGAAGGAGAGTATTAGAGCAATATGGCTAAAGAAAGAGTGTTCAAATATGGCAATCATAGGAGATAAGCATGCTATTCTGTCTTTCCTTATTTACTTCTGTAGGGTGTCCTGTTCTGGTACTCTTTACTATTGCAATGGAATAGAGCCCATTCATCAAAAGTGTAGAAGTAGGGCTGGTTAGATGCTTAAACTCCATCACAAGCTCAGATACAATCTTTATGGGGGAAAAAAACCTTTACAGAGCCCTTTCCCTTCTTTCCTACAGTTAAATGGCTAATATGGTCTAAATGGCTGTAGAATGAATTCAGAGTGCAATAAGCCTTTGTTTCATGCATTCTGGCATCTGAGTTTTGGCATCTTTGATTTGGGACTGTAGTCGACCCACAACTTACACCTGACTCCTCAAAGCAACTTTTATCTAGGAAGTTCTGCTGAAGATTCTATGCATCTTCAGGTGACATCTGGGATTCTGTCTGTACAATGGGTTTCCATCAAAGAGGTCCATCAGCCTATATAATCCCAGCTCAGGATTGTACCTTGAGATATTAATGAACATTTTCCCGTTCTGAAAAAAAACCTATTGAATTATAGTGCAAGACTGTAATAACAATTATCTCACTGTATAATTTATTTTCTTAGTTATTTTGCTACTACATTAAGTATGACATTTTTACTGGGCAGAATATAAATGTAAAAAAACCTTAACCAGGTTGATTAGGATTTTAAAATATAGAGTTGCAGAAATAACGCAACAAGGTCCTATTTTAGCTTCTTTAATATAATGATATGAATTACCCAAGCAGCAATATGCAATGAAGAACAAGTTTGCTTTCATTTGGGGATCTGTTCAGTGTCAATACTGTGCATGTTTACTGAGAACCAAATCCAACTGAGTTCATTCTAGGTAGATGCCCTCCCCCAAGCTGTATATGTAGGACTGTAGCCTTATATATGTGGAATTTAGGCTAAACTACAGGACAAAATGTAACAAATCAAGACAGAATTTCTCAACAGCCAGTCATTTCATTATTCACTGTTCAATAGGCATACTCATAAAAATTATATTTTGGGTGATTTGAAAGTGATATGTTTTGTTTCATTTCCTTTATAGTGACTCATTTATATAAAATACAGCAAGTATGGCTTGTATTCATTATTTTTCCCATGCAGAAAAGCTACACTAGGGCTTAAAATATAGGCATTGAAATATAATAATAATAGTAATATAGTAACTTGAATTTGTTTTTTAAAAAAATATGTTTTATTAATTTGTTAACATAATCATCTTAATATTCGGTAAACTGTGTTGTCTGGGTTTACATTTAAGAAATATTCACTAACAGTTGATTTCTATAATCTATAATCCGCATAATAACTTTACTTGATTTCCTCTTTCTCCCCTAATGTTCTCTTTTACAAATCTTAAGTTAATACAATTCTTGTTATTTTAGTGAATGACGATTGAGTATAAAAGTTTTCTAATATTTCTACAGATAATAACCACATCAATATAATATTCCTTTTCTATCTAGTCATTCTGATTGTCTCATCATAGATCCTATTTACAGTTCTTGTTTACGTTCGTTTTTCCCACAATGTTCAAATCATTCTTACTGGTTAAGATCTTCTCAAAGTTAATTACACTTAAATATTTAAGTCTATTTTTTCTCATGTAAGCCAACCCGATACTTTTACCTTTCTTAAGGAATAAATAAGTCTAAAAGAAGAAAAAAGAATAAGAAAAAAGATAATATGCTACTTAAAATCCCTATTTCCTATGAGCTAATATATATTTATTTCCCAAAAATTTCATTCTTTTTACCATAATTAAAATATATATTTAATCTTTAAATATTCCATTTAGTAAATCTAGTCCTATAATTTTTTTTAACTCTTATTCAAAACATTTTTAATCCATTGTAATTTTCTTAAACTCAGTCACCTTTAAATATCTAAAACATTTCCTTTACATAAGCCATTCCAACTCTTTTATATTACTCATATCAAGAAGTAAAATAAAAAGAAAGAAGAAAAAGAAAGAACTATGTTACCTGAGGGGCTCTTCCCTCTTACTGTAGATATAAAAGATAAGTCAAGTTCAATATCTTTGTGAGAGGCATTTGCCCATTCATTTTTGTTGAAAATCTTTTTCTTTCTTTTTCTCTCTGCTTCTCTTATCATTTTTTGCCTCTCCAGTTCTAGTGTTTTTCCTGGCATCACTGCAGTCCATTTTGTCCATTTTTTTTCTTATCCTCAAATTTGTTTTGTGGTGTTAAAGTACAAGTTGTCTTTTCCAAATCCAGTATTTCTTGTAAATTTTTTTCCACTTGGGTTAAAGCATACTTCTTTGTTTTGTTAGATTCCATCTTTAACTCTCTATCCTCAAATTTGTATTCAGTTGTCTGTTTTATCTATTCCTTCTCTGTTGTTGTTTCCTGGGATTTTTTTGTTGTAAAGTTAAATTGGAGATGAATTGGTTTATATTTTCAAAGTTATTTTGGATTTCTTTGTGGTTTAAAATCATACTTGAAAAGTATTTATTTTTTCTTGATAGGTTGTTTCTATAAATCTCTGATTTTACATGATGACCAAGAATCCAAATTTTCTTTTCTCTGCAAATAGCTTTGGGGTCAGAGTTAATTAGATATTTGTAATCTATAAAGTTCAAACAAGGGTTTTTTTTTTGTTCTCTGAAGTTTGTAAGTCTCATTTTGTCTGCATCTCAGATTATTTTCTTTTTTGTCACAGCTGTTCTCTACTGTTAGAGCTTTGAAGGTCACAAGTAGAGATTAGTTTTTTTCCAGATTTTGCCAAGTCCTGCATGAAAGCCATAGCTGTCATAGTCTTCATCCACCACTAGATGCCAGCACTGGTTTATTTTTCAAATTTTCAAAATGAACAAATTGCCTTTAAAATGAGAATCTTAACCATTCAGTAATTTCAAACTTATCCAAATTTAGGTTTTATAACCATTTCATTTCATTTCAATATGTTTTAGTCCTCCATAAAAAAGGGTGCTTCCATTAGTAAAAGGGTGGGGCAAAAATCCCTCTCCTTCACTTTTGGAAGTTTTTTTGCTTCTTGGGATTTTTTCTTCTTCAGGAAAGTTGATAAAGGAGATAGTTTGGGGTTTTGCATAGTAGTGCAAGTAGCCAAGGGATCATGGAGCTCCACACCCTATGGCCAATTCTTTTCTGTTTGGGGACCCTAAATGGGCCTAAAGTCGCCCTGGAGAGGCAACAAAGAAGGAGGGAAGTCCCACCAACCATGGAGAGATGGCGGTTGATCCAGTCATTTGGGGAAAGCCCTCCAGAAACCAGCAGAAGAAAGGTTAGCTTCACTCCAGAGTCTAGCCCAAGCTACAAGCAGCCGAAATCAAAAAGCACTAATTTAAGCTTGATCATAAACAACGTGTTTGGAACTGGGTAAGAATATCAATTCTCTCTCTTCTACTTGATATTTGATTTCCTGGAAAAAAGAAAAAAAACCCCAAGAAGCAAAAATCCTCCGAAAGTGAGAAGGAGGGGGATTCTTGCCCTACCCTCCCACAGAAGGAAGCGGTGAATTAAACTTTTATGGTGAACAGAAATATATTGAAATGAAATGAATATAAGACTTAAATATGGATAAGTTTGAAATTGGTGGAATTTGTTAAGATTTTCTTTCCAAAAGATTATTGATGAAAACAGAAGAAAGTAATTGTTTGTTTTGAAAAATGAAAAAATGAACAGGTGCTGACATCTACTGGTGGATGAAAATATACAATTGTAGTAGCTCTAATACAGAAACTGACAGAAAGCCCAGTAAAAAATAACTTGTTTTTGTGACTTTTAATGTCTTAACCAAACAGAGAACAACTTCAAAAAGAAAACATTCTGGGCTATTTACAAGGCAAGAACTATAAACTTTAGGGGGAAAAAATTGACCTTCCTAGATTATAAATACTTATAGAATTGTGACTTTAAAGCTGTTTGCAGAGAAAGGAAAACTTTGATTTTTGGCTATCATGGAGCATCAGAGACCTGCAGAAAGAACATACCAAGAAAAAACAAATACTTTCTAAGAGGAAGTGTATGCTATGTTGCAACTAACTCAAACGACAATGATTTCAAACCACGAGGAAATTAAAAACAACTTTGCAAATTTAAATGAACACATCTTCAATTTAACTCTACAACAACAACAAAAACTCTCAGAAAATTAAAATAGAGAGCAATTAGATAAAGCAGAGAATTGAACATAAACCAGAGGAAAGAAATTTAAAGATGGAATCCAACAATGGAAGGAATTATAGAGAAAAACTTGCAGGAAATATCGGGCATGGAAAAGATAACCTACACTTCAAGATTGCAAAATAAGTCTGAGGACAAGAAAAAAGATTTGACAAAATGGATTATAGAGCTGTCAGGAGAACTGTGAGAACATGAGAGACAAATAATGATAAGAGAAATTAAGAGAGAAAGAAAGAAAAAGATTTTCAATGAATACAAAGGGGTGAAAGCCTCCCAAAAAACATTTTACTGGATTTGTCTCCTGTACCTATGACAACATCCACAAGACTATGGGAGAACTTTTTGGTCCAGCGGAGCATACTGATTAGGAAAGATATTGGGAGGGGGGAAGGCTAAAGTTAGAATTAAGAAATTGGATGATGGGACTTATCGGATGGAATATTTAAAAACTAAACATTTGTTTGAATATGATTTAAAAAAATAGAAAAATTCTGAATATAAATGTATTTTAGTTTAAGAGGGATAGGCCCCTCAAGTAACATAGTATTCTTTTTTAAAATTTTGTTTTATTTATTTATTTATTTTTACTATATGAGAAATATAAACATGTTGGGATGGTTTATATGAGGGAAAGGTTTTAGATATTTAAGTGTAATTGATTGTGAGAAAATCTCAATTGACAAGAATGTTCTGAATAGACTCAAAAGATTAGATGATTGGATTTATTAGATGGAATATTTAAGGATTAAACATTTGTTTGAACATGGTTAAAAAGAATATAAAAATTTTGGATATAAATGTATTTTAGCTTAAGAGGGATTTTTTTAAAGTAGTATATTATTTCCTTCTCTTTTTCTTCTCTTTTTCTTTTTTTAAGACATGAGAAACGTAAAACTGTTGGGATGGCTTATATGAGGAAAAAGATGTAATACTTAAGTGTAATTAACTGAGAAAATCTTAACTGGTAAGAATGTTTTGAACATTGTGGGGAAAACAAATCTAAATAAGAACTTTGAAAACAGGATTTATGATGAGGTAATTAAGATGATCACTTAGAAAAGAAGCTTTATATTGATGTGGTTGTTAAATATTAGAAAAATGTTTATATCCAATTGTTATCTATCAAAAGAAATGTACTAATTTAAGAGAATGTTACTGGAAGAAGAGAAAATCAAAGAAAGCTACTATGTGGATTATGGAATTATAAAATTAATTGTTATGGATTATTTTTAAATGTAAACCCAGACAACACACTGTTTACCAAATATTAAGGTGACTATGTTAAAAAAATCAATAAAATAAATTTTTTAAAAAACTACTGAGGAAATAGTTCAGTGCACTTTAACTCATATCTATTAACCTGGTGTCAATCTCTTAGCCTTTGTGATATCACTGGTTTCATAGAAATCCTAGCGCAGGGACTCAAGTTGCAGGCATTGGCCTCTATAAAAATTTGAGCCTGAATAGTTCCCATTTAAAAGAGATAAATGCAAAATCCTCAACCAGTTGAGACTACTCTTGTCTCCTCAATGTCTGTGAATGGGAAAGAAAAACCACCCATGAGGGAAGGGAATCAGATACATCAATCAGTACCAGGTAACAGTATTGTTCTACTTCAGTGCCATGTCTCTCATCATAGAATTGCCCAAAGGAAGGACTACTTATTGTTCATCAAGATGCATCCTCAGAATTGGTAAGTCTCAGGAGGAGGACAAATACTTCCCCAAACTAGCCCATATGATATTTGCCAGCAAGGGTTGGTCACTTCATCTTCTAAAAAAAGGGTTGATCCCACAGAATCAGGCTATTGGTCTGTCATTCAGCCTCCACTTGATCATATTCCTCATTGTCCAACTGTTTATATGCTAGTCCAATAGAAGACAACAATAGACAATAATAAAACTTGAAAACATTGTCATAAATATGTTTTCTTCCTGGGCAAAAAAATCTTGATAAATATTCCTTGTTCCCAAGAATAGCATCATTACAACTGCTTTGAAAAATGAATTGGAACACTGCTGTCCTGCATTTGCCCTCCACAATGACACCCCTAACAGAAAAGGACTTTTCTGGCTTAATAGATCAAGTTTTAATGGGAGCCTCAACACTGAATGTATGAATGGCTGCCCATTTTTAAGAACAAAGATATGTTCAGAAATATTCTTCAAAAGGAGCAAGTTTTTCTTCCACAATTTCTTCCATTGCTTTTAACAACATTTCTTGTTGACAACATTAAAATCCCAAACATTGTTGGGATTTGTTCTGGTGCAGCAAGAGAAGAGAAGGACGGTGGAAGGAAATGTCTATTGTAATTACTAATCTATTGTATAATAGAACCTTCAGACTCTAATGAGACTTTCAGCCAGTATTTGTGTTTAAATAGTCACAACTGCAATAAAGAATGAAAAAGAGATGCTACATCTCTGTGGAGCTTGTAAGAGGTCTATTTTCCTATATATAGAAAGTCCTGCCATAACTTTTTTCCAGCTTCAAGTTTCTAAGCAGGAAAGGTAGCGTAATGACACAAGATGTGAAAAGATGTGGAAGGGTAGATGAGATGTAAACATTTATTTCTTTTAGGTCCCAAAGAAGGTATTCATGGGATCACTGGTGCCCACAGGCATCAGATTGTGCAGCCTGACATTTATTTAAACAATCATTCTGATTATCTTAATCTTCAAGTATATTTACATATTTCAAGGTTTCTTCTGGGGAATTTGAGGATATTCCTAACAGTGGAGTTTTCTCATGCCTCAGCACCTCAGCTGAAAGAATGTCCCCTGATATTATTTTCTCTTAACAGATGAGGAGAAAGAGAATAATAGAGCATCCAAACCGCACTCTACCCCAGCAACTCTGCAATGGTAAGATCTGTTTCTTGAAAAAGACAAATAAATAGCTCTAGCAAAACCTAGCAAAACACTATAAAATATCAATAAATGTATGCACATAAACGTATTCAGTTATATCTCTTTTATTTACCCATCTAATCACTGGAGACATAGGAACATAGAGAAGGGTTTCTGGAAACTGATTAGTTGAACATATTCATATTCTTTTCTGAACTTAAGCTCTCCTAAACTGTGTTAGCAAATGGTTATTCTTTCCCAAATATTTAAACAGCATTTCATTTCTTGCTATTGTTGTTCTTTTCCAGCAATTAATACTTCAAGCCTCCTCAGAAGGCAATTGCTTAGTCTTTCCTATAATTTGATGGACTCGTTTCAGCCAAATTGCCACAGCTAATTATCTCATAAAGCTCTTCTCCCAGGAGAAAGCAAGTCAGTAATGGTAGCATCCTTAATCATAGAAGTTAATACATCCCAAAACTCCCAGGATATTCAGCTTGTTGGAATGTAGCCATTATTTGCTACCATGTTCCAATTGCCCAAGAGAGGCAATAAGCCATTTTCTATCATTCAGGCCACCATCTTTAGCAGCATAGCTGCCCTTGCGGCTTGCTTGTCCTTGCACTTTTATCTGCCCTAGTTGTGCTTGCCTGGGCTCATTGCAAAAGAACTTCATGTTCTCCAAAGTACAATAACCATCACCCCTTTTGTTTATCTGCATTTGATTCTAAGCTGCTGTATGCAGATAAACTATACATGTTTGATCATAACTTCAGCCTGTAGGACCTAACATTTCAATGATTGTGAAGCAGAGGCACATCATTTTGCTTCCTAATAAGCCAGCAGCACTTTACCTCTTCCTCTTTTAAGCAATGTGACAATTGCAATTAGTTTGGTCAGGGGGGGTCTGGAGTGGCATGAACAGCATTTGAAAAGGGATAAAGAGGAGGCAAAGTAGCTATGGCAATGTGCCAGTCAGTCTAAACTATGTTTGGGCTAGCTAACATAATTTGATTTGGTTCATATATCTTGCTTATTCATATATTATAGATTGCTTGTCTGAGCTTAATGTGATGTGTCAATTCAGCCTATTGTGGCTTATCTGGCAAAAGATTTTTTTTTTTTTTTAGCAAACTACAGCATAGCATGGTGTATTAACCTAGCTGATGTTAGTTCTAGCCTCATCTCTGGCCAAGATTTTGGAAGACCAATGAATTGTGGTGGCAGCAACCTGAGTGAGCTCCATCCTCTGCATCTCATTTCAGGTTGTTTGGCCCATGCAATCAAGGCTGAGCAGAGATGATGGAGCCCAACCTAACCAGCTGAGTGAGAATGGAAGCTGCAGGGGATGAGTATGTGTTGGTGGGGAGAAGATAGCAAATAGAGAGGAGAGTTTAGAGAAAACAAAGGAGAAAGAAGCGAGGAAATGGCCGTGAGCATGGGAAAGTACATTTCTGTGCATCTGTTTTTTTTTACTTCACAAATTAATTAGTTATTTATGAGTTTTGAATTGGCCACCATGAACTTGATGCATTATGTTCTCTGAAATCATCTGCCTTTTGTCCATGGGTTCATTGATTATTCCATAGCAAGTGAGTCAGGCACTTTTAGTGCTCTGTATCTGACACAGAACCTGGAATTTCTTAAGTTGATCTGTGTTGGCTTGAAACCAGTTATGTAGGGATTAATGATGAGAATCTTGTAGGTTTTTTGTCATAGTAAATATTGTCATAGGCATCTGGTACACTATAAAGATATGCATACATACATATATTTTATAGGCTGCCTGACTCCCAACAACATTGGGCAGCTTATAATTAAGTTTTTTTTAAAAAAAAAAAACATAAAACACCCACAAAGAGATTTATGATGGTCCCAGAAACTTAAAAAAAGCTCATTAATAATTTCCTGAACATCAGCAGGGTGGGAGGCAACCAGATCTCTGGGAGAATATTATTCTGCAGGGCAAGAGCTACAGCAGTCATACTTCCTAGGCCCCATAAGATGACATTGCTGAAGTGATGGCACCAGATGGACAGAAACAACTGAAAACAAGCAGTCCTTCAAATAATCTGGGCCTTTTGCCTTTATAGATGATAAATAGCACTTTGAATTGCACCTGGAACTTTATTGGTGCCGCTGTGGAACAATGGGGAGGTCATCAACAAAGCATACCTAACATTGTCGATATTACTGCATTCTGGAACAGTTGTAATTTCTGAATAGTTTTCAAGAGTAGCACCATGTACAACACATTATTGTAATCCATTTATGAGGCTATGAGTGACTGTCTGATGGGGCCCTGGTCCAAGAAAGAGTGCACCTGGCACACTAAATGTACTTAAGCAAGTTCCTCTTGGCCATAGCTAGTACCTGCTCTTCCAATAGAAACTGTGTATCCAAGATGACCCTCTAGTTGTGCACCAATCTTGAATAGGAAAATGTACCACCATCCAAAACCAGATTGAAGATCACCAGACCCTGAGGGTACCCATGAATTTTGGAAGTACTTTAACAGAATAACAAAGTTGGAAGAGACTTTGGAGGTCTTCTAGTCCAACCCCCTGCTCAGGTAGGAAACCCTATACCATTTCAGACAAATGGTTGTCCAATCTCATCTTAAAAACTTCCACTGTTGCAGCATTCACAACTTCTGGAGGCAGGTTGCTCCACTGATTAATTGTTCTAACTGTCAGGAAATTTCTCATTAGTTCTAGGTTGTTTCTCTCCTTGATTAGTTTATATGCATTGCTTCTTATCCTATCCTCAGGTACTTTGGAGAATAGATTGACTCCCTCTTTTTTGTGGCAACCCCTGAGATATTGGAACACTGCTATCATGTCACTCCTAGTCCTTTTTTTTTTTCATTAAATTAGTCATACCCAATTCCAGCAACCGTTCTTTACATGTTTTAGCTTCCAGCCCCTAATAGTCTTTGTTGCTCTTCTCTACACTCTTTCTAGAGTCTCAACATTTTTTTTATATCGTGGTGACCAAAACTGAATGCAGTATTCCAAGTATGGTTTTACCAAAGCATTATAAAGTGGTATTAACACTTCATGTGATCTTGAGTCTATCCCTCTCTTAATGCAGCCTAGAACTGTGTTGGCTTTTTTGGCAGCTGCAGCACGCTGCTGACTCATATTTAAGTGACTGTCCACTAGCACTCCAAGATCCCTCTCACTGTTACTACTGTTGAGTCAGGTATCACCTATACTATACTTGTGCATTTGGGTTTTCTTGCCTAAATATAGAACCTTACTTTTTTCACCATTGAATTTCATTTTGTTAGATAGATTATGGTGTACTAATTAACACTTCCAAGACTATATAGTACTTCTTTTAGATATTACAGCTCTTTATTGAACTGGGATAATGCTGAACTAGAATGAAATGTACAGTTGCTGAATGTACTCTTTAGTCAGATACGTTCTTTTTAATCCAGTTCAGGTTGTCAGAGCATTCATTAAATTCTACAGCTCTCTGTATTTGTGCCCTCTGAATGATAGATGGGTATTTTATCATAATAGTAATGAAAATTAAAATAACAGGTGGTTATGGAGAATTATATCTGATTACTTAACACAGTTCATTTAACTACAAATTATTTAATAAGCTAGAATTGAGTGATCTTTTTCAATATGCTAAGCCATAAATCAAAGATTATGAACCATAATCAGTGGTAGGATTCATCTGGTTTGCACCATTTCAGCAGAACCTGTAGCTAATTTTTTGTTGTCCAGGCCCAGAATGGATTTCCGGAAACAGCATCTTCACAGAGAACTGGTGGTTCACATATTTGAATCCCACCACTGACCGTAATGATTGTAACCACACAACCTACTAAGTAAATTCCAAGCAAAGCAAATTATGAATGACTTTGATGCAGGAATCCAGCCTTCATTCTAATGAAACGCCAATTTTATAATCCTGATTTGCTTGGATTTTTAAGAGTATATAATAGAATGCAAATGAATTTGTTTAGCAAATAAAATATACTGAAATGTTGCACATAATTTTAAAGATAGTGTTTTAAGGACATTGCTGATAAAATAAATAATCCAAGTTCATTATAACACTATAGGCTAGTCCAGAGTTCAAAATATGAACTCCTGAAATGACAAAAATATGTAAAACCAAACAATGATCAAAATGGTTTTTGGTCATTAAAGAAAAGTTCAGGCATAACAGAAGATTGTTTAGCACAGACTAATGATTCACCAAGAAAGAATGGAGAGAAAGGAGGAAAGTCATTAGATATTATGAAGAGAAATAATTGAGAGTCTTTCTTCCTATCCTGTCTTGGTCAGAGAAATTGATGTGCCAATTAGCACCTATGGCATACAAACAGTCTGTGTCCCTTGAAAAGGGGTTTTGTTCAGGGTCTGTGTATCTGAGGGCAAATGCCGCAATGATATTGTAGTAGACAGAAAACAAGAATAGATGCTGCCTTTAGAAACCAATTCTATTCAACTACTCTTATGTCTTAATGAAATTTTTGTAGAAAGAAAAAAAAATCATGTTAAGGCTAATGAAGTATTGGGGAGGAGAATATCCAAACAATACAGCAAGACATATAAATCAGTTTTTCTAAGAAAGGTCTCTGCTAATTGGCTCACAGGTTACTTTAAGTTATTATTTTCAAATCCATATTTCTCTGAATTAGTGTTAATTAAAGCTTATTTTTATGCCACAGTTTAATAAGGTATTATACATAACAGTACAGCAGCGATATAAAGCTTAATTCAACCTATTAGATACCTAATATTCTTCCTAGATCATGTCTCCACTAAATAGTTTGGTCTTCACTGACCCAAGTATGCATCTTCCATAATTAATCCTTCCAATATTATTGGACATTACCAATGTTATTTCTAACAGTGTTAAAAGCAGAAAGAAGGTTTAGGGGAGCGTTTAACTGTAGAAGCACAGATGCTTCTGAAGTGCCCATCCTTCTAGTAATGCTTCAGAGGCTCCATTTACTTCCAAAAGTCGATGCAAGCAGCCAAAGAATTGCAAGAAGAGCTCTGAGTACTGCATGACATAATCAGAGTTGCTTCTTTTAGCTTATGTTCAATTGGTAACAATCCATATTGTAGCAACCTAGGTAAGAATCAAGACTGCCTAGAACTGTCTTACCAAGGATGTTGTTGGGCTCTCCTTTGCTAAATGTATTCAAGCAGAGGCTGTACAGCCATCTGCTGGCAATGTTTTAATCTGGATTCCTGCATCGAATAGGAGACTGGACTCCGTGGACTAAATTAGTTTTCTAATTCTATGATTCTGTCTTGGCTGGAATTACTACAGAATGAAGGATGGATGCTATGGATGGAATACAGTGAGAATGGGGAGGGAGGAGAAAGGATAACAGAAGGTTAGGCTAAAGACATAAGTAAGTAAGCTGATGTGAATAGCATGGGAATGTAACTGTGACTCCATATGTAAATGGATAAGATAGTTCCATCCTTAGGTGTTTGGTCCTCAGGTCAAAGGTAGTTTTAAACTCTGGATTGAAGCAGGAGATACACTGTCTGCTTAGGTAGCAGGGTGGTTTAGATGAATTATACTACAAATGAAGAGCATATTTTGTTTTTCCTTTAAACTTTGAAAGAGAAAACTGGAAATGAATCCAAAGTGCTAACTATGTATGTAATTTTGGCTGTAATAGGCTGTCATCCTCTAGCTGCGCCTTGAAATGCAAGCAGAATTATTATGGGGTAAATTTTACATAAGGAAAGGAGCACATTGGAACAAGCACTGGTACATGACTATCTTGGAAAGCCTTTGATGATATGGCAGGTCCCCTATGTGCAGTACACAGCTTTTGATGCTAGGATTGTTGTGCTAGGAAATGGAGCAAATTGGTTTGGCGGAGACTGATGACTTCTTTTCTTTCAATTCTTTATACTTTAGTAACATAAATGATATTACAAAATCCTTTTGGAATTGAGTTACATATAACTGCAAAAATAAATAATAGATAATGCATCTCAAATTGCATTTCTTTTCACTCATTGATTGGAGTCATACTCTGACCAACACCATAAATGATAATGTGAAAATAGAGTAAATAGGTTCATACCTTACAAAAAATTTAAAAATTACATTATGATTGAAAGTGCAGATTATAAGAATCAACTTCCCCCCGAGGTTCGAACTACTCCCACCCTGCCAGCCTTTAAGAAAGCCATTAAAACTCTCCTGTTCCGGCAGGCCTGGGGCTGATGTCCCCGGGGGGGGGGCGGGATATGATCGGACACTCTGTATGAATGTATTTATTTTATTGTTTTATTGTTAGATTATTGTTTTAATTTTGTACGCCGCCCTGAATCCCTTGGGATTGGGCGGCATATAAATTTTAGAAATAAATAAATAAATAAGAAACAGCTAAGAATATGTCTTTTTATGAATCTGTTTAAACATGTGCAAATTGTTCATTAGATGCTAATCTACTACTTGCTGTTCATTTCTGAGTAGACTCATGTAAACATATGTTTGCTCTTTTTAGTGAGACAAAGTACTTTTAAGAGTGAAAGCTAAAATATAGTATTGTAGTATTCTGGGGCTTATTTTCATCTATGAAAGCATTGTTAAAAAAAGTATATTTGTTTTCTTTGTTTTGTCCTTATTTTTAAGGCTGGAGGAGAATTACGAGATTGCCGAAGGTGTCTGCATCCCTCGAAGCGCTCTCTACATGCACTATTTGGATTTCTGTGAGAAAAATGATACCCAGCCTGTTAATGCTGCTAGTTTTGGAAAGGTGAGTATAATAAAACTTTCCAGCAATGAATTTCAGGGATTTAAAAGATAATGACTATGGAATATAATAATAATTTATTAAACTGTATGCCCCCTAACTCCCAAAAATTCTGGGCAGCTCGCAACAATCAAAGAAATTACAACAGAATCAATAAAAAAGAAAAACACAGGAAAGAATGGTAGGATAGATGGAATGAAGCAAGGTGAGTAACTCTCCCTCACCAAGGCTGGGGTGAAAAGCCAGTTCTTCCCTGCTCTTCTGAAGAACAGCAGAATGGGAACAATTCAAATCTTGGGGGAACCTCATTCCAGGGGCCTATACTTTCCCCATACATATTATCATTATTCAAATAAAAAATAAACTGTTAACAGAACATTGTGCAGTTGAAGATTTCTTTAGAGGTTCCAAGGAGAGGAAAGTTTTTGCTGGATGAGTTTCACAAATTCCTTTGATAAGATTAAAATTTTTAAAGCAACCCAGATAGCTTTGTCTGACAGTTGATTCTGATATTAATGTCAGACTAAGAAATATCTTCAGAGGTCATTGCAGGAAACATGACACCAGACTACATAATGGGTGGTGAAAAGTATAATGGGTGTAGCCGGTGGTGAAAGGGTTGCATGCAACCCACCAAAATGCTACTTGCCTTCTCCAGTCCTTTATGTCTACTGATCACAAGCCCTGACCCATGCCTGATTTATCTGGGCTACCACTAAAAGCCCCATTGCCTATCTCATCATATCATTTGGTGGAATCAAGAAAGCTGTTCCTAAAGAAGTCTTGTTTGGGGGTTAGGAGTGTCCCTTTTTCTATCAAAAGATTGGTAGTTCTTAGAAGATTGATCCCTCCTTTCCTGTCTAAAAATAAAATACCACCCCCACCCCCACCCACCCCATTACAATATAAGTTTCCCATCCATTGCAAGGAGACAATGCTTTGGATCACAACTAGTATAACACTAAAAGGGGATTTGGGCTTTATCCTCAGTCCCCAGTGTGATGCACAGATAAGTTTTGATTTTTAATATCCCATTGACAGGGGCTCCAGACCTTTATTTCTTAAAGGGTAAACAGAACCAGGGCTTTTTTTCTCATAGAATGCCCAGAACAGAGTTCTGGCACCTTTTTTGGATAGAACCTTGTAGGGTAGGCAAGACGGGTTGTATGACATGTATGAGCTCTGGCAGCTTTTTTTTTTTTTTTTTTAGAAAAAAAGCACTGAACAGAACTATATTGCTTCGCAAGTTTCAAGAGAAAATAATAGTAAACCAATAGGAATGTTTTATTTGTCTTTGGGGTAGTTGAAGAAAAATCCTATTTGAGGAGTACTTGTCATACTTTCTAAATGACAGCAGGCACCCTGCTCCCCTCTGAAAATTCAGAAAAATGCCTTCTTCCCTCCATAGTGCCTGGGTGCCCCCATCTCTGTCTGCCCAAACTGAAAGAGAGAGGGGTGGGATTAATGTGTAATTAAAGAGAATTTGGAAGCCTGAGATGTTGCGGAATGTTAGATCAGTAGCTGGAACAGCATGTGGTGTTCTTTAGGTAGGCTTCATTGAATTAGTACAAAAAGAGAGAGTCAGAGAAAGAGGCTGCCTGCCTGTCTGCTCATTTATCAAATAGCTAGGCTGAACTTTCACAGCTCCACAAAAGTGTTTTTCTGTTTGCTGATTTCCTCCCACCCCACCCTTTACTTCAGAATATAAATCTGTACAACATTTTCCCCTGTTCTAAGGCTTATGAAATAAGACATTTTGGTTCCCCATTACTTAATAAATAAATAAGCAAATGTGGTAAAAAAGGAAGATAAATAATCATGGCATGTCAGGTATTTGCATGATACTTTAATTCAGTTCCTTTTACAGGCCTTTTTGACATTTCCTTAGACTTTGTGGATGATTCCATGTATAACAGGAAGCAAAAGAAGGGATATGTATGGAAAGGATGCACAAGATTAATTTAATCAGCTAAATCTTAGTGTGATTCCAGCTGAGGAGTTCTGCAGTGAACATTAAAAATGAAGCAGGCATATTTGTAGTTATAAATTCAGTTTTTCCAGTTTGAAACAGAAAGCACTCTTATTTCAAACTTGGCCCTTCTTATTAAATACCAATTTTTTTACCAATAAAGGAGAATATTTGTAGCTCAGGGTTGAAATGAGGGGTCCTTGGTGCTCTCTGTGCTTGATTGTTTTCTTGCAGACATTTCATTACCCAAACTAGGTAACATCATCAATGCTAGTCAATGCTAGAGCATTAGATACCAAGATCCCTCACCTCTTCTTTTTTCTTAGTATTTCCTTTGATGTTTCTGTATGTAGTTTTATTTAAGTATATAGTATTAAGAATGTGGAAGAACTTAATTGAGAAGCAATTAAGTTAATGGTTTCTATACATTAACAGTACATTCTGCCAATAATATTCTCCTCCGGCTATTTTATTTATAGATAGTTATTTATTGAAGTAGGGAAAATTCAAAATATATAAACTAACATAGCTATAGACAAAAGAACAAGCATATAATAGTACAATTTGATCAATTCTTTTCCATGTGTGCATATTTTTGCAAGCAATGTTATCTCATATAATATATTTTATGTATATTTTTCTTTAATATATGCATTTGGAACAATTTTTGAATTATAACTGTAGGTTCTTGAAAATGACAAAAATATATATTTGTGCTCCTTAATATGTTCCAGTTATATAAAATAAGTGATTCTAAAACAGCTTATTTTGTTTCCAGTGCATTTTAATTCTTTTCTTACTTTCTCCTCAAATAAACCATTGCTAAATATACATGATTAGAATAGGATCTTATGTTTCTTAACATAAAATCATTATTATTAAATTATAATTTACAGATAATAAGACAACAGTTTCCACAGTTAACGACACGAAGATTAGGAACCAGAGGCCAATCAAAGTAAGCAATAATGTGTGTTTCATAATCACAGAAAGGCTAAATGTGTTATAGAAAAGTGATTGTGGAAGATTTTCATGGAATGTGTCTATGGCAAACACTTATGTTTGGTGAGAGTAAATCCCATCGATAAGCAAAGCTGGTTCAGTAAATGGTGTTGCTTCTTATGTTCTACCTATTCTGTTTGATAGAATCTACAGCCTTCCTAGACTCTGATATAACATGGTCAGTTGTAATAGAGGACTGGACTCCCATACCTCTAATAGTTGAATAGAAGAGGTTGCTTCAGCAAGTGCCAACATCTTCTTTTCCTCAGAGCTATTCAAGGTACAGAAGCACTGTCTTCTGTTGAATCCAGATCACTTTGGACTCTGATTTGTATGCCACTGCTTTACCAGTGGCTTTATCAGAGCTTAAGAAAAGTGGCAGTGGCCATTCCATATACCAAGAGCAGTGGTCATGTTATCAGTCGGTACATGGGTGTGTATACTATAAGCTGGAATTATATTCTCTGTTTGATCCTATGTCCCATTTCTCTTACTTACTCTTTATCTCTCCTGGAACTTTGATAGTTATAGCCTGCAGGAGAGAGGATGGTTATATTTCAGACTGGAGGAATAATAATCTGTGATTCCCACTTTAAAAAAAATAAGATAAATGCAAATATACAAATATGTTGATGAATCCGAGGTGGCGCAGCAGTTAGGGTGCAGTACTGCAGGCCACTTTAGCTGACTGTGTTCAGCAGGTCAGCGGTTCAAATCTCACCGGCTCAAGGTTGACTCAGCCTTCCATCCTTCCGGGGTAGGTAAAATGAGGACCCAGATTGTTGGGGGCAATGTAAATATATATATACATTGCTTACTGGTGTACACCGCTTAGAGAGTGCTTGCACTTAAAGCGGTATATAAGTCTCATAAATAAATAAATAAATAAATAAATTATAAAATACAGGTTGCTGTTATTATAAATGCTCATCAAAAATTTGATAGGTAAGATTTGCTTCCTCCCTTAGCCAGGTGGGGATATGTGTTGGTTGTTTGCCTTAGCTGTGTCTGCCAGTTTTATTTGTGTGATGCAGTATTTTTTATTCTCCAACAATGGTACTCTTGGACTTGGTGTAGAAGTATATTGTCATGTCAATTTATTTTTTCTGTAATGTATACTCATGACATGACATATAAAGGTCCCATGTTCCTAACCTTTTATCACCAGACCATTTTAGTGCATCAGAGCGGTTTCATAAAGTATGGAAATCTACACTTACTATTATAGATGTACTGTGCAATAGAATAGCAGCCAGTCACAGCTTTCTGAGGAAGGTAATATCCTTTATGTCACGTTCAGTGCTTGAGTTAAGGAGTGTAGGCAGAATGAATGTGAGAGCTCAGGGCCATTTAGTCAGATATGGGTACACTGGACAACTACTATTTCAGCATTGTTGGCTAAATAGATAGCAACATCTCTTGTGGATGCTGATGTCATGTACCAGGCCAGCCAGTGCTTTATGTTTAGCAGTCATGCACCTGCCCATGTGAGGGACCAATATCACAGCTTCAATATCACATTTTCCCAATGTTTCTCGTAAGTGATTGAATCACCAGTCCCTAGGCACATATGTGTTTATATCGTAGGCTACTCTGTAGAAAAAAAAGAAGGCAACGGGTGTGACAGAAACAAGGTGACATCACAGTGGGATTGAAACTAAATTTTCAGCCCTTTAACAGGTTTGGAGAGGTTATGCAAAACATACTGAAAAAATTACTTGAGGCTTAAATACATTTATTTTATGGATTACTTTATTTAAGAAATGGTATTATTAAAAGTCTATTAACGTACCTTTTGCACACCAAAAGGAAGCTATCAGTGCACAGTAACTCTGTGGCTTTCCTTAAAAGGGGCATGTATAGAGAGCTTAAGAAAAAATATTAATTGCTATATAACAAATTATATACTATTTTTTACCCACAGAAGAAAATAAGGTATAGGATTATCCCTAGTTTTCTTCTACCAAATATATCTGGCTAGAGCTGAGGCAAAAGCACCAGGTTCTGCCAATTTGTATCTTTCTTGGGTGCTCCTGTGGATGGAAAATGAAGCTTGTTAAGCACTTGAATCATCAGCCTTATGTTCTGATGGTGAATTTGCACTCATGCATTAACTTGCAAATTGGCATGAAGTCTGTTTTGTTAGCAATTTTCCTTTTTAACCATACTTGAGTGAACAAGTTCTCTCTCTTTAAAAAAAGTGTGTATTCAACATTTCAGGTACCATTACTATGGCATTGCAGTGAAAGAAAGCTCCCAGTATTATGACGTGATGTATTCTAAGAAAGGAGCAGCCTGGGTCAATGAAACAGGAAAAAAAGAAGTAATCAAACAGACAGTGGCATATTCACCACGATCCAAACTTGGGACGTTGCTGCCAGAATTTCCAAATGTCAAAGATCTAAATCTGCCAGCCAGCTTGCCAGAAGAGAAGGTGACGCTAGTAAAATATTCATTGGCTTGCTTTGGTCTCTGCTTTTTCTCTGTTGAGGAAAGGCTAACTTAAGTATGAAAAATTGCCTCTTCAAAAGATTGAGTTTAAGAAGACTGTGACTTGATTTATGAAGGACTTGATTGCTCGCTGTACTTGAAACAAATAATTTCTCCCTGATTTATGGTATTTATCAAGTAATCTATAGATGAAAGAGATTGTACCTTCTGTATTGGTTCAAAGTAGACAATACGTCAAAGATCCATGATTGAATTTTCCAATATTTTTTTAGTAAAAAACCCCACCAACTTAAGGAAAGTAGATTAGTGCATAAAGGCAGAGGACCAATTTTTTTCCTGGCATCATATCCCTAACTTAATTACAATCCAAAGCTGCAACTAGCTACTCTCAGGAAGGAATCAGATGCAGTTAAATTTAATTTGGGCAAATGGCTCAAATCCACCCAAAATACTGTGCTCTCAATCTTTCCTCCTTTGAATGCTTTTAACTGAGAAACAAATTTAAGCAGAGAAATTGGATGGACAATTTGACAATTTCTCAGGGATAGGACTTTTCTCTCATAATGGGGAATTTGGAATTTTGAAGGAGTAACTTTCTAGTCCAGAATGCTTCTGCTGGAATATCCTACATTTGGTGCTAAGCGGGCTTTCTGGAACATAATGCTCTGAGGCAAAGATGACACACTTTTAGCAGCTTGCTCTGGAAACCATGTTACGTAGGTATTAGGTTAGGCTCTAACCTGGATTAAGTTTATAGTTACAGTTGATGAGACCTGAGATTGGTACTAGTGTTTTTGCTGCCTTGAGGTTTTAACCTTCTTCATCTCTATCTCCATTGCTAAGAATTTGTTAGGAGTTGGAGGTCATGATAGATTATACTGGAAATGTTTTAAATATATGCTTAATAAGAATTATTCTTTTTTATCCTTCTAGGTATCTACTTTTATAATGATGTACAGAACACACTGTCAAAGGATACTTGATACTGTAATAAGAGCCAACTTTGATGAGGTTTGTAACGAAGTAAAATGTTTTTCATGGGATAGTTTATATTCACTTATATTTATTGATGATAGTGAAAACGTTTATATTGACTGACTACATTGCTCCAAGGTTCAAAGTATTTTCCACTGAGAATTGGAACTGTTGGAGATAATAGGATATATTAGTTCTATTGAGTGAAATGATTCTGAGAATAAAGGAAGCTAATGAACAGGATGCCTCAATACAAGGAAGCTGAAGAAATGGTGCAATCAGGCAATATACTGAAAAATAAATTGGGAAGAACAGCAGTATAAGAAAAAAGCTTATGTAAAAGCAGGGCTTTTTTTTCTCATAAAATGCTCAGAACGGAGTTCCGGCACCTTTTTTGGATGGAACCTTGTAGGGTAGGCAAGGCGGGTTGTACGATGTGTGTGAGTTCCGACACCTTTTTTTTTTTATAGAAAAAAAACACTGTGTAAAAGGATGGAGGAGATGAGCAATTGAGATCAGAAGTATTAATGAGATGGAAGACTGTAAAAAAAGCCCTCTGTATTACTCAAGATAACATAGATAATACATATGGAAAATAGAATAAATAAGTTCTTCCCTGTAGAATGGAGTGGGGTTATCCAGATTCTAGTACTCCCTTAGTCATGGAAGCTTACTGAATGACTTTGGGCCAGTTGTTCTTTCTCAGTTCATGCTCCCTCACAGAGTTGGGGAAAATAGGAAGAAGAGCTTTGAACATTGCCTTGAGCTCCTGAATTAAAGGGAGAATGGAAATTTATTAAGTACCTATACATATAGTATTTCATATCTATTATATACACACATCTATAGTTATATATAAATTTATACACATATACTTATGATTCATAAAGCTGAGAATATCTATGGCTCAGTTTTATATGCAATAATATTTGAAAGAAATCTTAGAATTAGTTCTGGAATATTAGTTTGGTGAATGTGTCTTATGGAAAATGGATGCTATTTTTTTAATACCAAGATCAACTAAACTAGTACAGAAAATTGATTTCCAAAGTTCCTGCTAGCTTGCTCTATTAAACCCCAACTTTAAAAATATCCTAGAGTTTTCTGCTTTTTTTCTTTCAATTCTCATTCATATGACATTTTTTTTCATGTAGTCAGTCCAAATAACCAATACCTGTATAATGGCACAAATCTAAGGCTTTGTTTGTTTGTTTGTTTGCTGCCCATCTTGCCACAAGGCGACATTAATTTAGATTTATATCTTAAATATATTTGCAATGAATCCCAAAGGTGCTTTTTCAAGAGGCAACTGGACTTTCTTGCTTTTCTTTGAAGACATTTTGATTCAGCTTCTTGGATGAGAAGTGAAATGTCTTCAAAGAAAATGAGAAAGTCCAATTTTCTCTTGAAAAAGCACCTTTGGGACAACCAGTACCTGGATGACTGAGAATCTCCATAGACATTTGCAATGAATGATAGTTAGTTACAGTCTATATAGGATGATTTCACTGCTTCCTACCCCTCAGTATAATGCATCTTTCCTGATTTTGACTGCTTTTATATTTGATATGAAGTCTCTTTCATTATCATGAATGGGAACCAAGTTGCTGTCAACAGTCATGTATTTTCAGAGGAAATTTGTTAGGGCTCCTGTTAGTGTAATGGTATGTGGGAATGGCCTTGGGAGATGGGGGAAGAGCTGCATGCAGGAGAACAAGAGAGCATAAGAAGCAGCTGAGCCCGCAGATGGAAAGGGGGAATGGCAAACATCTCACAAGTTACCCTCCCTAGTTTTTTGGGCTGTAAATACAAGGGGGGAGAAATGTACTTTCTAACTTGCAAGATTTTGTTAATGTAACCTCACAACAATGTATAAATAGTTCATCTAGGCATGCTTCTTATCTGGACTATCTTGCAAGGCTGATGAGCAGAATCAAACCCAGTGGTACATGGACATGAAGAAAGAAGGCAGAATCCACCCTTTATTTGCAACTCCTTTTTTTCTTTTCTTTTTCATCAGCAAACTGCCATGGGTGAAACATATCATTTGATGGTGTTTTCCAAAAAGAAAATCAGAAGTGTATTTCTACCATTCTAGAAGATAGACAAATAATAATTTTTAAAAATTACAAATTCCATGTATTTCTTCTGTTTGGGTGCATTTCTAGGTTCAAAGTTTTCTTCTGCACTTTTGGCAAGGGATGCCACCTCATATGCTTCCTGTACTGGGTTCTTCCACTGTAGTAAATATAGTTGGAGTTTGCGATTCAATATTGTATAAAGCTATTTCTGGAGTTTTGATGCCAACAGTCTTGCAAGCATTACCTGATAGGTGAGTATATTTTAAAAGACTGACATTTGTGTGAAAGTATATGTGTGAGTTCGCTTGCAACATATACCCTTTATACAGGGGTCTTGTATACAGCAATGCTGGTTGAGGAATTCTGGGAGCTGAAGTCCACAAGTCATAAAAGGGCCAGGTTTGAAGACCCCTGGTTTAAATAAAGAATCTTTCTCACACAAGACCAAGTGACATTTATGAATAATAAAACCAAATGGGTTTGACAGAACACTGCAGATTGAGTTCAAACATCGAAGGAATGGTAGATTTTTTCCATTTAGGAATGAAGGACAAATAAGTGGGCAATATATTTAAAATATTCTATACTTGCATGCTTCATTTTTGTTCCCTTCCCTACATTCTAAGAATGTTAGCATTTTGGCAGTCTGTTTAATACAATTGCAGTCAATGACATTTTTTATTTATCAGTTTTTCTTCCTTGAGATTCCATCTTGAATAATGCTTTTTTGTGAGTGTTACAGATCTTCATTCCTACATTGTTTTTTATTCCAGCCTTCTCTAAATTAGTAGTCTATTGATGAGTTCAACATCTACTTCATATTTCCCAACCAGAGTATCTTAAGGACTAAATCTTCTTGTACATACTTTCTTGAACCCTGAGACCTCTAGATGGCTTGGTGGCCTGAAAACATTTTTTATAAATGGTGATCCCCCTTATTCTGAAATGCCCTCAGCAATACAGTATGTCTTGTCCCTGTTTTAGTACTATTTGAGGGACTGGCAAGATACAGTATACTTTTGTCCTCAGTTCTTAAACATGAAATACCCTAAATAGTAATGGAATCATTTAATTCAATCTGTTTCAGTTATTCCTGCTAACTAAAGTAGAGAACTGTGGTTATTTTAGTAGTAGTAGTAGGAGCAGTAGTAGTAGGAGCAATAACATTTATTATTCTAAGTTTTAAACATTAAACACCTCTGCAAATGTTAATGTTAAATAGCAATTATGGATCATAATTTTGAAAAGTGGCATAGTTCTGAAGAATGGAATATATCTATTTAATTTATTTTTTTAAGATCTGGGAGGAACATCAAATGCAAGCATTTGTACTTATTCATTTCATAACTCTATAGATTATGTTTTCTGTATACTTTGGTGTATTTTTCAGAGTCCTTATTATTAGGTAGCTGTAACATAATATATATTCTCAGTGCAATCCTATGCATGTAACTGGGAATTAGGTCTCACAAAGTTGTGGAACTAATGCTAGATACATCAGGTTAGGAAAATTTTCCAATTTTGAACTATAGGACTAAAAATTGGGCAGTTGCAGAGCTAATATTTTCTTGCTTTTCTTCTGCAAAGAAAGACTCTTAACATATGTTCCTGAAGTGGTACTTTTCTTTTCAGCTTAACACAGGTGATCCGCAAGTTTGCCAAACAGCTGGATGAATGGCTAAAGGTAGCTCTTCATGACTTGCCTGAAAACCTACGAAATATCAAGTTTGAATGTACGTGTTACATACTTAATACAAGCAGAAAAATTGTTTATGATGCTGTAACATTAAAGTTAAAGATATTAATCAAAAGATAGTATGCTGGTACCAGTAGAACATTAAAAAATGCAAATGATTTTTTTTTAAATGAAAGAAACAGGTCAGATAAAGAATTCAGTTCCCCTCACTATATATGTGGTATGGCAATATTCTTAATCAGATCAGTCTACTCTATGTTCTATAAGTAATTTAAAAAAAAATAAGGGCAGTTATAGAACACATATATTCTATGTTGTGGTTAAGTTCTTATTTACCTACCTCAATAACACGTGGAAGGTAGGGCAGTACATATGAACAGATTTAAGGGTTCATTAGGCCGACTCCTATTTTTTTCATCTACAACAATTAAATTTATTCTTCCAAAATCAGGATGCTGAAATGAAGAAAGCTTGGTATAACTATTAGATTTTATGTAAAAAAAGCTATTCAGATATCGAAAACAAATGCTTAGAATAAAGGCATTCTTTAATTTAATGAAAGGAGTAGGCAACACAGTGTCTTTTGATGTCAAAATAATATATAATAATCCAAGAAAGCATTGGCAATCTTCCCAAATGTAAAAATGCCCCAAATCTCACATGATTTTATTGCCAAAAATGTTTAGGACTTTTAGGAGACATTTTGATAACTTTTTAAAAGTCTCAGTATGCAAAATTGCATACATGCTTGAAAAGGTGCTGTGTGTCTTATTATCCTAACACAGTTTAAAAGAACAATAAGCATTGCATCTCTAATTTGTCAATCACTAATAATCTCTAATTAATTTTGTCAATTCTTTCAGTAATATGTGTGTATATCACTGACTGGTCATAGTGATGAAGCCATATTAGTTAGAATTAACTGATAAGTCTCCTGTCTTTGTGAAACAAATTAAACAGTCTCTCAAGGGATGGCCTGCAAATGCAAGCAATCAAGCACATCTTCAAACTACAGTCCGAGGTCTTTGCTTCAAGTGTCAAAGTTTAAAAAATGAAGACAATCAAATTATCCTATCTCCATAGGAAGGGCACTACACTCTTTCTCTGTAGATGCCTGCCTTGCACATTATATCTTGAGAAAGTCTGCTTTATTTCATCAGTCCTGCTCCTTTTATATAGCTAACTTCCACATCACAAGTTTTTTTGAAGAGAGAGAATGTGGGCAAAGTTGAAAAGGGGAGACAGCTTAACCATTGATCAACATGGATGATTAAAAGCACCTTTGTTGAGGGGGCTCAGAAAATGACCCATTGAACAACATGATTTTGTAATTTAATAATTTATTCAAATAATCCAAGGCATGTTCCTTTCCTCAAAATGAATATGTTTTACTATATGTTTTGGAATTGATCTTACTAAAGCAGAGTTGCAGCCAGAGAGATCAGTGTGAATTTTCTTCACTTTAGTGAAGTCAGATAGTACTGAAGCTATTTGAAAAATATCTGGAATCTGGATGCTAGCATTGTACATACAAGCAATGTCATTGATTTCAGCATATTTTTTATTTACCTATGGTAAAAAGATTAATACAATATAGCATTAGGAGTTACCCAAGGAAATATGGATATAAAGGTTACACTATTGATCAGTAGATAAAGAGAGAGATAGATAGCAAGGATTTTATTCTGTGCATGGCCTTGTCAATATGTTTACATAACATATATTTAATCTTCATTTGTGTACTGCAGTCACTAATCATAAACCAGAGAATCTTAGTTCACTTGGCATCAACTACACAGTCCTAGCAACAAGAGGAAGACTTTCTATGGTGAATGGCCTACTTCTTCAATTTTGTTGGAATGGAAAGCAGAATTACTAATCCAATTTCATTCAGTTGGAGTCTGTAGATCTAGGCTATAATTGTGTCAGAAGTGAGGAGGCTTTGGATATTATGAATCTAAAACTACTTTTGACACTTCCTGGGAATAGCCCTATTGGAGACTTTCTGGTCATGGGAACCAGCAAATCAGCACACACAGAACTTTCTGCAGGGACATAGAATTAAGGATTGTTCTACTTCAATTTGACTACCCTGACATCAACTGGGAGACAAACTCCGCACCAAGTGGAAGATCAAACAGGTTCCTGGCAAACCTAGCAGACAACTTTGTCTCTCAAAAAGTAGAGAAGGGAACTAGGGGATTAGCCATTTTGGATCTAATTCTCATTAACAGAGATGAAATGATAGAAGGTGTTGAAGCCATAGGAACCCTGGGAGGAAGTGATCATGCAATATTAGAATTCAACATTATAGAAGCACAAGCAATAGAACACAGTCAAACTAGAGTCTTGGACTTCAAGAGAGCTAATTTCAATAAACTTAGAGAGGGCTTGGGAAGGATTCCATGGATGAGAATCCTCAAGGGGAAAACAACTCAAGAAGCCTGGGAAATTTTGAAAAATGAGATAATAAAGGCACAGTCTAGCACAATACCAACAAAGAGGAAAAACAACAGCTCTCAGAGGAAACCAGCATGGCTGCATAAAGAACTCTCTGACAAACTGAAAGATAAAAAAGACAAGTATAGAAAGTGGAAGGAGGGGAACATAACTAAGTCAGAATATCAGCAAATAGCCCAAGCCTGCAAAGATTAAGTGAAGAAAGCCAAGGCTCAAAATGAACTAAGGCTTGCGACCAAAGTCAAAAATAACAAAAAAAGCTTCTTTCAACATGTAAAAAACAAGAAAAAAGTGAAGGAAATGATTGGTCCATTAGTGGGTGGAAGTGGCAAGAAGGTGACAAGCAACAGGGAGAAAGCAGAACTATTTAACTCATTTTTTGCATCTGTCTTTACACAAAGGGAAAAAAACAGACCAATCTATCAAAAATAGTGCCATAAAAAACAAAATAGAAACACAAGTTAAGATAGGCAAGAAAATGGTAAGTGAGCACCTGTCCAGCCTAGATGAGTTCAAATCGCCAGGACCAGATGGATTACACCCCAGAGTTCTCAAGGAACTGGCAGATGTGATATTGGAACCACTGAACTATATTTTTCAAAGATCCTGGAACACAGGGGAACTACCAGAGGACTGGAAAAGAGCTGATATAGTTCCCATCTCAAAAAAGGAAAAAAAAATGGATCCAGGAAATTACAGACCTATCAGCCTGACCTCAATACCTGGGAAGATCCTGGAAAAGATAATCAAACAACGAATCAACAAACACCTAGAGGCAAACAAAGTCATTACTAAAAGCCAACATGGGTTTGTCAAAAACAGATCATGCCAGACAAATCTTATCGCATTCTTTGACCAAATGACAAAATTAGTGGATCAGAAAAATGCTGTGGACATAATTTACTTGGACTTCAGTAAGGCATTTAATAAAGTAGATCACAACCTACTACTTGATAAGATAGAAAAATGTGGGGTAGACAGTGTTGAGTCCTTGGCGGGAAGCAGACACGAGAAGCAGTTGAAGTTCTCAGTTTCCTTTATTCAGCGTTCAGCTTACAAGTAGATGGCTTCAGCAGCTCCCAAAACCTCCCAGCTTCTTATATAGACGCTTCCCGGGTAAATGTGTTACTTTTCCCGCGCCAGCACCCGCGCATGCGCACGGCGCTGGCGACAGCCTGTCTGGTCCCGGGCAGCTTTGCACCTGCCCGGGACTGCCTGCAAACGCCCGAGCCGTTTGCAAGGCTCGGACATAACACCCCTTTTCCCCGGGCTAAAACTACTACCAACATATAAACATTTATTTTATGCAGTGTTACCTGGCTTTTGTTTAGCCATCAATGTTATGTAATCCTCTAAGTATTTAGGAGACTTCTTTGCTCTCTGTGACCTTCTCAGCTCTGGGTTACTAGCATGAGTTCCCTGACTGGAGGGAGATGTGAGCCTGTTCTCCTTATTTTGCCTTGGTGCCTTCCAAGGACTGTGCCCCGATGCCTGGCCTGCTTGCTTGCCCACCGGGCTCGTCAGGCCAGGGCTTCTGTCACTTTGTGACCTGGTTGACCTGCCTAGCTGTAGACCCTCGGGCCCCTTGAAGTGATAGCCACTGCTGGGCGTCTCTGTTGAACCTCCTAGGTCCGTCCAAGACCTGTCAGGAGGCTGACCATTCCCTGAACCCCGTTCTGTGTCCGGGCTTGTGTGGGTTTCTGTACTTTCCCAAAACTCAGTTACCCTGATTTGGGCTAGAGGTGTTGTAGTCGGGACTTGGTTCCTCGACCACCTCCCTGTATGTTTGACCCCCTGTAGAATTTGGGGTAAGGTCAGGCCAACCTTGGGGATTGTGTGCCAGCTCTCTTGCGGGGAATGATTGGTTGGGATGCCCCCGGGTATCCTCCATGACTGGAGTGCTGTGTGATGTGTGTGGAAGGTGAGTATGCCCCCGGGGTGACTCCCTGGCTGGAGTAGGCGTGAGTGCCTGTTGTGTGGGTAAGCTCCATGAATTCCTTTTCGGAGCACTTGCGGAACCCTGGGATGGGCCGTTTGTGGCTCCATCAGTGGAGATGGGCAGCAGCTCGTGCCCGTCCCTTTGCTCCAAAGGGTCCCCCTCCCCCCCGGGAAAAGACCCAGGAGTCTCATCTGAAAAGTCCCGCCTAGGGCGGAGTTGGTCGATGTGCCGACGCAGGACACGACCATTGTCCAGGGCAACCTCGTAGGAGAGAGGACCTGTGACCCTGGAAATAGAAGCGGGGACCCATGTATGACCAGGCCGGTAATTGCGAGCCCAAACCGGGGCACCCACAAGTAGTTGTCTAGGTGCCCTAGGATGTGAGGTAGATGAAGGCAGTCTGTCCGGATGCAACCGGTCAAGTTTAGTAGTAAGTTGACGCCCCCAGCGAAGTTCAGCTGGGCTTCTCCCTGTAGAAGTGGATGGTGTGGTGCGATAAGAAAGGAGAAAGTCAGCCAACCTGTGATGCCAGTCCCCGTAGGTGAGTCTTTTCAATGCGTCCTTTGTGATGCGCACCATACGTTCAGCCATACCGTTGGTGGACGGGTGGAAGGGTGCAGACGTGGCATGACGAATCA